AAACTGTTGTTTTTCGTTTCAAATTAACCTATTTTAAGCTAACCTTAGTCACGTTTCAGGTGTTTAAGTTTATAAAACGAAATAAAGTTGAAAATATCAATAATGAAGAAGCTGAAGTTTACATGGCCAAATTTGGTCTCACGAATAACGGCCATGCAAATGGCCAAAATAGCGGCAATAACGGCGAAGATGGACAGGATTCTAAAAAACAATGGAATCTGAAAAGATTTTTTAAAGAATGGGTATGGGACACTAACGGCGATCCATACTATTACTGGCTTGGTATCATCTCATGTGCCTTTGCATATAACCTCATCTGTGTAATCGGTAATCATAGTCAGTATTTTTTTAACTGGACAGTAAATCGCTTCACTGCTTTCGACCAATTAGGCAATTATTGTAGACCGTACGATAGCAAATATATATTAAACTGTTTGCAGAAAAAATTTAAATAGCATACTCCAAAATGTTTCTTACTTAGTCCAATTTTTTGCTTCTAGAATTGTCCAAAAACTAATTGTCAATTAAAGTAATAGATAATTAATAATTAACAGTACAGTTTCTTTTAGTCTATAACACCAAAAGTAATCTATAGCTTATATTATACGAGAAAAAAAAGTTTTCTTTTATAGCTTTTAATTGTTTAAACTGGAACTATAAAGATCTTGTCATATCACTTAAACAAATTTAGCTAGAAGCGTCTTTTTCGAACTGGAAAATGGTCCCTACTGGTATCTTTGGATTATTTTTGATGCTTTTGTGGATTTTATCTATTTAATTGATATGTTCGTTCAGTCACGTACAGGTGTCTTTTGCACATTAAATTTGCCTTGTTGCTTCATAGTTGAAAATTTTAACAATTCAATAAACAACTCGCTCACTTACCAGAACTGAAATTCTGTTTTTTGGTTTTCAGGTTTCTTAGAACAAGGTCTTCTAGTTAGAGATCTTCAAAGAATCAGGAAGGTTTACTTGAAGTCTCGCCAGTTTAGGGTGGACTTATTAAGCATTTTACCGATAGATTTATTAATTCGCCCTATACGTGCTTGTCCCTACATAAGGTTTACTCGTCTCGTTCGCTATCCGCGATTTACCGATTTCATTGATCGTACAGAAACAAGGTTTCCTTTATCCTTTTTTTCGTAATTCTTTGCCGAGCGAGCAGATACAGTTTTGCCCTCAAACTTTTGCTACAGTTTTGACTTTTAGGACAACATTTCCTAACGCATTTCGAGTGTGTTGTGTCGTCTTCTACATTGTTGTTATTATTCACTGGAACGGATGTATCTACTTCTGTATAAGTGAGTGGATCGGATTGAACACAGACACTTGGGTTTACGGCACTAAAAACATTCAGAGTCTTCCAGAGTAAAACCGTTTCTTGCGTATTTTATCAAACTGTCCTGTTGGGATGACTTTGACCAATTTGACGTTTTAAAGGGGCATCGAAGATACCCTGGGGAGACGTTATGTGTATAGTTTCTACTGGTCAACACTGATTCTTACAACTATCGGTGAGGTACCACCCCCATTTAGTGACGTGGAATATGTGTTTGTTATAGTGGACCTTATGGTTGGCGTTCTTATATTCGCTACAATCGTCGGTAACGTTGGCAGGTGATTTTAGGATTTAGGTTTTGTGTGTTTAAA